GTAATGTAATAACTATTTTTCTCTTACAGCATAAACAACATCATGCAATCAAATTTGAACTGACTAATGTTACATTCCTTTCATACTTAAATGTAGTCCAACGATATAATTCACATAAACCAAACTCAAAATGGTACCGTGAACACAACAGTTAGTGAAGATGTAAAAAATGTGCCAACATAAGGATTAGTGCAGGGTGGCAATAGGGTCTCTGAAGAAAACAATTCGGGTTCTAACTCAATAGTCCTTGTTGAAATATAAAAGGGAGATGCAACTGCAGGTGAATCTTCTAATATAGAGGGTGGTGAATTAGAAAAGATAACAAAATATGTGGCATCAAATGAAACACACAACAGTAACACTAAAATGAGTGAAACAAAAGATACTCAGAATATTTCTTATGTGAAGGAGAACACTGATGCTACGAAGATTGGATTCAAGGGTGATACACAAACAGATGAAATATCAGACTCATCCTCTGGCATAGGACCAATACATGCATAAACCAGTATAAATCAAAGTTTACCAAATTTTCTCTACGTTGAGAAGTGCTAATGGAGCCAGCAATATGGATTGACATTGCAAGTCCACCACAATCACAAGCTCGATTTGCTTTTATAGTCAAACTTTTTACTTTGAATTGTGTTGATCCTCAATGTTGGCATAAGATATCCCATACATCTTCTGCAAGCCAATTTGGCTTTTATATTATCATGCGTGCCTTGTTTAGTGAACTTTTCAATATGTTCGCATCTCACATTTCAAAGTTCCTTCTAGCCAACCTATGATCAGGTGAAAAAATAGTATATTTTCTTTGTACCCAAACAAAACAAGTAAATGTTATAGTACATTCAATAATTAGAACTTATTTTAAAGTTAAGAACTAATATACATACATACCATGAACACACTAAACCACATGTCTCGAATAGCTTCAAGTACCTTTTTCCATGATGGTCATGCATCAGTGTAATGGTTTTTGAAAATATCACCAATGGCATTAGTTGCAAAGTATGAAGGCAAAAATCTACAACACAAATAAAGTCATAAAGTACAAGTTTTATAGAATGTGAATAAAATATAACATTGTTAAAATTGAAGTGATTTACCCATATCCATCAAGTGTTAAATTCAGTCACACCATTTAAAAATGCATTAGTATACCCTTTTTGACCAGGTACAAGTCTATTATACATCCAACTACAATTTTCACGAACATCCATGTTCTGTCATATGCCAACAAATGACTTATTTTAATAAATAATATACCATTTAATTATCCACAACATAATTACATTTTAATAAAACCTCTAATACAACATTTATAGGTCTTGCTATAAATTATACCTCTGCCATTAAAACTGTCTGCGGTACGAAGATATTGACAGTTGGAAACCTAAGATGGTGGAAGTAGACATGTCTGAAGAACTTAACAACACATTACGAACGAACAACTTTACAAATAAAGAAGGGATAATAATTAGAAAGTGTATAAATAATCAGTCCCATAAATAATCATAATAAAAGACAAAGATCATTAAAATTTGTATGGAACATAAATTTCAAGCTTTGCAATTAAATATATATGACTAATAATTGTTAAGTGGTAAAAAGTTGATATAATTATGCTTTGAATTGTTATGAAATCACTTAACTTATGTTAATTCTAATATATTTTTCTCCCAATGTAGGATGAATTTGAGAATACCTTGATACAAGAGTAAGGAGCATAATTATCAGCATAATTGGAGCAAAACTGGAAGAAGGAAGAAGATTTTCAGCATGGAAGTCACTCGAGCGAGATGGATTCTTGCTTAAGCGAATATCAGTTATTCTTCTCTGTAAGTCAGTTGCTCAAGCGCCAGTAAATTCGCTTGAGCGAATATCAGTTATTCTTCTCTAGAAGTCAGTCACTCAAGCGCAAGTAAATTCGCTTGAGCGAAAATAGGGAATTTTCGCTTGAGCAAAAGACGCGATGCCCAATTTTTCCTATAAAAAGATAAGATGTGTTTTGAGAAAAAAAAAAGTGGTTTTGGGGAGAAAAGGAGCGACTACTGCTAGGGTTTCATCCAATCTTCATCAATTATTCACTTCTTCCACATTTGGAATATTGTAATGGCCAACATGAGTGGCTAATTTTATTCTCTTGGAATTCGGTTTACTTCCTTTGAACTCTTTTATCTTGGTGATATTTTGAGATATTAATCTATGCTTTGATGTTGTTATTCTTATCTTCTATGCTTTGGAATGATTTATTCTTGATGTTTGAGATATGATTGAAAAATATATCTTGAACCCTAGATCACAGTAAGAATATGTGTTACGTTAATTGCCAGGAATGGAATGAATGTATCAATTGCTTAACACCTTAAACTTAATGTTGGAAAATCTCTTAATTGTGTGCGAAATCAATATTTATTAGGTTTTCTTATGAATTTCATGTGTGAGAAATCAAGATGGATGATTTGAGTAGGTGACATCAACATTGTTAGGTTAATTAATGTGCTTAATTGACATATCCACTGCAAAAGAGGGATAAGGAAGGAAGTCAATCCTAAATGCCTTTAATTGATATTTTCTCAACAATTTACAGTTCTTTGTCATTTAATTTCAATACAACTCTTTATGCAAAATCCACTTTGTTTTAATCTACTTAATAAGCATATAATTGGAAATTTCTATTGAAACTGTTCCTTGTGGGATCGACTTTTATTTAATCAAAATACTATACTGCGATTGATAAATTTGGTACGCTTGTCAATAATTCAACAAGAATTTTTGGCGTCGCTGCCAGGGACGGCGTTCTTTGAGAATTCTTTGTTTAGCTTATTGAGTATTTTATTTTTATTTCTGTTTTTGTTTTACTTTTTCAGTTTTATTTTGCTTAATTATTGTCCTATGCTAATCTTTGCTTGAGTTATTCTTTGATTTATACGTTTAAGAGGACAAGTATCTTCAAAGCAGTTAGAATTTAATTCGGAGATTGAAAAAACTGCTCGGAGGAACCGGGGTAGAAGAAGAAGAGAAACTCAAGAACAAGGAATAGGAGAATCTGTTAACCCTTCTCCTACACTCAATTTACCAGACCCAATCATAGAAGACATGGTGGAGGAAGGAGCAAATCAAAATCCAAATCCAAATTCACCTAGAAGAACACTTAGAGATTATGTTATGCAGCAAGGTCTGAGACACTTCTCTAGCATTGCAATACCGGACAACCAAACATTGGAGATGAAACCAGTTTTCTTAAGCTTGATTAGTTCTCATCAATTCATTGGATTGGATCATGAAGACCCTTACATTCACTTGTCTACTTTTTATGATTTAATTGGTACCATGGAATTTAGAGTAGCAGATATTGAATCTGCATACTTGAGATTATTTCCTTTTTCTTTGGCAGGTAGGGCAAAGGAGTGGCTGAAGGCACATCCTAATCAGAGTTTAATTAACTAGAGTAATGTAGAAGAGAAGTTCTTGAACATATTTTTTCCACTTTCCTGCTACATCAAGGCAAAATCCGACATCTCTACTTTCAGATAAGGAGAAGATGAATCTTTTTGTGAAGCATGGGAGAAATTTAAATCACTGATGAGAAGATTCTCAAATCATGGATTTGAAGACATTGCTTAATTGAACATTTTCTATACTGGCCTGCGACATGATACAAAGATGTTATTAGATACTGCAACAGGAGGATCTATGCTGGATGCAAAAACCGAAATTTTAGTCACTAAATCAGTCACTAAATATAAAAAGGGTAAGCACGCGACTGAAATTTTAGTCACTAAATTCTTGTAGTGGTGAGTGACATAAGAATTAGGTGGTCATGATAAGTAAATTTAAGTTTAAATATACAAATATATGTATTTATTAAATATCTTATTATATATATATATATATATATATATTATAAATTCATATTTATTAAATTTATTTAAATATTAAATTTATTTGTATTTTTTTAATATTGTAATCTATATATATATATATATAAAAGTATATATTTATATTTATTATATATTATATTTAATAAAGTTATAATGTATATAAAAAAATATAAATATGTATTTTTCATATTTATATAAATATATATAAATATATTAAAATATAATAAAAATATTTATATGTAATTTTATATTAAAATTATTTTATATTATATTAATAAAAATGTTTTATCATATTTCTATAAAAAAATATTATTTTTACTTACTAAAGTTATTTTATATCAAAAATATATTTAAATAATATGTATAATTTATTTATATAAAAATATTATCTAGAAAGATATAATATATTTATTAAATTTTATTATATTTATAAAAAGATAATAAATATTTAAATATTATATATATATATATATTAAATATATTTGTATTTACTATATTTATAAAAATATATTAATAATATAATTATATAAATATATTTTTATGATATGTAAAATTATATTTATATTGATTTGATATAATTTATAAATAAATATTTTAAAAATATATATATTAATATTTATTTTTTAAAAATTATTAAAAATATATGTAGCTTGCAACAGATCAAACACTGATTTTTTTTATTAAAAATGTGCTAATCTTGTAAATTTTATCTACCTATATTTAAATAATGTTACGCGAAAAAAAAAATCACAAAATATGGTTGAAGAAGACTAAATAAAGTAACAATATCATTTCACTTACCTATCACGTACATAGTAAGAAACCTGCTGGACCAGTGCTGTCCGTTGGCAGGGTCAATGATTAACCAAATACGTCACACACAACACAAATCAAAACACCTACCAAAGATATCAACTACTAAAACACATATAAAAAAAAAAAAAAAAAAAAAAAAAGACATTTTTTATTTACTTTAATTTTCCTGCACATATCACAAAATTACCATAAAATGCAAAGAATTTAATAATAGAGACCCTATCCAATACTCCACTCCTTTAATGGAGCTCCGTCACTAGACAACGCTTCCATTGTTTTCGCGATAGGATCACCGCCATGGCTGAGGTCACTACAAAGAAGGAAAACCCGAACCTTCTGCTGGGTAGGTTCGAGCTGGGAAAACTCCTGGGGCACGGAACCTTCGCGAAGGTCCACCATGCGCGGAACATCAAAACCGGGGATGGAGTGGCCATCAAAATCATAAACAAGGAAAAGATCCTCAAGGGCGGTTTGGTGTCTCACATCAAGCGCGAGATCTCCATCCTCCGCCGCGTCCGCCATCCCAACATCGTCCAACTCTTCGAAGTCATGGCCACCAAAACCAAGATCTACTTCGTCATGGAGTACATCCGTGGTGGCGAGCTCTTCAACAAGGTCGCCAAGGGAAGGTTGAAGGAAGAAGTTGCCAGAAAGTACTTCCAGCAACTGGTTTCAGCGGTGGAGTTTTGCCACGCGCGTGGGGTGTTTCACAGGGACATTAAGCCCGAGAACTTGTTACTGGACGAGGATGGGAACCTTAAAGTCTCAGACTTTGGACTCAGTGCCGTGTCGGATCAGATTAGGCAGGACGGGCTGTTTCACACGTTTTGTGGGACACCTGCGTATGTTGCTCCCGAGGTTTTGGCGCGGAAAGGGTATGATGGTGCCAAGGTTGATATTTGGTCCTGTGGGGTTGTTTTGTTTGTTTTGATGGCAGGGTATTTGCCTTTCCATGACCGTAATGTTATGGCCATGTATAAGAAGATTTACAAGGGTGAATTTCGGTGTCCCAGATGGTTCTCTCCTGAACTTACTAGACTTCTCTCTAGGCTTCTTGATACCAACCCTCAGAGCAGGATTTCTATTCCTGAAATCATGGAGAATCGGTGGTTCAAGAAGGGTTTCAAGCAGATCAAGTTCTATGTGGAGGATGATAGAGTTTGTAGCTTTGATGATAAGTTGCAGTTACAGCCCCATGATGGTGGTGGGGATGATGATTTGGGGACATCGGATTCTGAGGTTGAAATTCGGAGGAAGAATAGTCATACTAATAGTAATGCTTCGTTGCCCAGGCCTGCGAGTTTGAATGCATTTGACATCATATCGTTTTCTCAGGGCTTTGATCTCTCCGGGTTGTTCGAGGAAAAGGGGGATGAGGCCAGGTTTGTGTCTTCTGCTCCTGTGTCTAAGATTATATCCAAATTGGAGGAGGTTGCTCAGCTGGTTAGCTTCACGGTGAGGAAGAAAGATTGCAGGGTGAGCTTGGAGGGTTGTAGAGAAGGTGTGAAAGGGCCTTTGACCATTGCTGCTGAGATTTTTGAGTTGACACCTTCCTTGGTGGTGGTGGAGGTGAAGAAAAAGGGAGGGGATAAGGCAGAGTATGACAAGTTTTGTAACTCTGAGTTGAGGCCCGCGTTGGAGAATTTGGTTACGGAGGAATCTGCTTCTTCATCTTGTCAATCTACACACATTGAATCTGAACTGTATCAACGAACACTCTCTGACTCTGCCCTTAACATACATTCGGAAAGTGAAAGTTTGTACCAACAAGACTTGGCTGAAGTAGAAAAAACTAGTATCCGAAAACATGGTGAATCAATATTCGAAATCTCATAGAAAAAGATACTGACATTCAGTATCTGACTGTCTCTGGGAGAGATATTTTTTAAGATTGAAATGAGAGAAACAAAAAAAATATTCATGTTTACATTCACTAAGGTACCAGAAGAATGAGGGAAGATTATAGGATACTTGTATTTTTAGGTTGTATGTATGCTAAATTTTCTCTTTTTTTTTTGGCCTCAACAATTGTCAAGCTTATTTTAGGTTTGCTCCTTCACTGGAGTAATAGATGCTACTGTTTTTGTATCTCCAAATGTTGTATTGTAAGGATAATTTAATTTGATTATAGTGAATGAAGAGGTGTACATGTTCACATGTCTTGTTACATTACTGCGAGCAATGAGAAAATAAGAATGCATAGTTATTGTAAACCATGAGGTGTTGGACTGGATTTGAATTTGGAAACTGGGGAAGTCATTCCAGTAGAGTAAGGTTCCAAGTATTCAACAGAATATTACAGGTCATTGACTACATGATACGCTGCATGTGATCTGGCGTTTCCTCACATTGAACATAAGCTAGAATGATTAAGTTCAACATGTTTTTGCGAAGTGGAATGTCGTAAAGTAAACAAGAAACTTAATCAAGCTCAGACTTAAATTATTCTTTTTCTCCCACCATTTACAGAGGGAATAATGAAAGCATAATAAAGTGGATTCCTTGCAGTGCTACTGGTTTAAAATAAGAGGTCTATTCCCCCATATATCATGTTGATTTTATATTAAAACAGCTAAAAATGAGAGAAATTAAGAAGGAATAATATACTATGGATAATATTCACTCAAAGCATTTTAAATCATCGATAAAGTAATGATTACCCTGAAAACCACTCCTAAAAATAAGCCTATTACTTAGTTGCACACTGCCCTACACACATACAAGTGGTGCCTATTATTTTACCCAAAAAAATGCTTCAGCAGAACGAACACCATAAGTTGCTTCTAGTGTGGCCCCTACACACTTACTTACTTACAAGTGGTGCCTAAGAAACTGGCGTATTCACTGAACATACGATTGATGTTATGATGTGGACATAAAGCCTAATTCCATAACCTAAGATCCAATCTAAAATTTAGTTGTAACTATGATAAGAGAGTCAGGAAAAATATAAGAGCCATTATAATATCAATTCCTCAATTTATTAAAGTTCTATCTATTAAAAGATCTAAATAAAAGATATAAATATGGAGGAAATCTAGATTAAAAAATTTAGTTATTATTATTATTTTATTTTCTATAATGAGAATTTGAACACATGACCCAAACCTTATAATGTTTTCATTGAATTATCTGAGTAATTTAACTTTATTTGGAATATTAGAATTTAAATTTATCTTTATTTTCTGCAATGAGATAAACTCGTAAATTTAAGTTGTATTAAACATTTAGAAATTCAGAATGAACGTACGTAATATTCAGATTACTTTGTGAGTTTTTGTGAGTTGTTGTTCTGCTAGGGTTCTTTCTTACATCATTTGATCTTATTAATAATTATCCAATTCTTGTGACGTTCCTTATTTACTTATCAAATATTCTTATTTATGACACATACAAAATCTTTTATTTTATTTTTTCTGTATTTTATTTTTAATCAAATTATTTCTTAAAACTTAACCTACTTTGTTTCGCTTCTAATAGAATGTTTTCATGTTATGTGTATTTGAATTGAACTTTGTATTTTTTATGTTGATTTTGAATTGAGCTTTGTTGTTGCATCGTGAATAGAGCTTTTAAGAAAACGTACATTTTTGTAATATTAAGCACTTGTCAACTCTAATTTATGGTGATGCAGTGAAGCAAGGTGTTGGACTAGAACAAGCTTTGTCTAGTTTTGTTTTAACCAGAATAACTCACCCTTCACCAATTTCAATCCTTGTTCGTTTCTGTGGTTCAGAACAAACGAGAAACAGAGGTTTCAAATAATTTAAATTGGAGGGACCCTGGTGGCTAATGGTAACAACTGTTGGGGACTATTTAGCTATTTGCTATTCAAAAACTTTTTCACGTCTTTTCGTTTTCTACTTTTCCTGATTTGAATATATTCAAAACCAACCTGGGAGAATGGAAGGTTGAAAAAGATGCTTCATTTAGGAATTTTGTATTTTTATTTATTTCCCTCCGTATTAGGGAATCCTCTCAGACACTTTTTTTTTTCCCTCTAATTAGTGGCCATTTGAGTGACAGACAGATATCAATGTATTTTTTACGTTTTTTATTCCTTTTTTCTTTTTTTCCTTTGTGTTGTTCTCTTGACTATTTAAAGAAGATTTCCTTATAATAGTGTCCCACTAACAATGTCCTCACTCCTAATATTTCGTACCACTATTTTAATGTTCCAAGGGTCTCTCTTAAACTCCTATATGTGTTGTAATTATTATATAATAATTTAAATCAAGTCCTTACATGTTCAATATTCCTATTTATTTCACACAATTATAATCTCTTTAGCAAGTTTTACGTCGATTAAGAACATATCTAAAGTAATATCAAGATATGGACTTTTTTTATACTGAGTAAAGTTTATCGTATTGCAGAATAACTAAAGTGATATTTTTGTGAATAAAAAATAACAGTGAAGTATATATATATATATATATATATATATATATATATATATATATATATATATATATATATTACTCTACTTAATTCACCATTCTAAATTAATCCAACTTGTGTAATTTCTTTCTCATGTCTAATTCTGTTCTATTTTCAAAGCTTACCAAATATAAAGTTTTATGTTTCGTGTTAGAACACAACAACCAAACACTTCTTTAATTATAAATAACTCTTTTGACCCGCAATAATTTAATCTTCTATAATACTATTCCTTAAAAAGATTTTGATGCACAATAATATTAAGATGTTTCCCCCACATTTGAAAACTAGTTTTTTCATCAACTGTGGGATGATGTTTGTATAGATAGATAACGTAATCAAGTACTTCTTTGATAAAATATTATAAAAGAGCATGTGATATAAATTAAATTTTAAAATTAGTGAAATAAGTTTAATAAAAACTTGGTTTAATAAGTTTTACCAAAATCATTTTAAAATAAACTTGAAAGGCTCACAAAAATCGTAAACAAATTCTGTATGTTTAAATTGCATGAAAAAATTTGTAAAAGCTCTCGTGAGAAATAGTAGATACAAACAGTCCTAAAATTTTTGGTGCTTATTTAATTGTTTATTATATTAATCATTTTTAATATATTATTTTTAATGGTGTTTTGTTTCATTTTTTTTATCAGATATGATTATGTGACAGATTTGTTTTTCACTTTATATATTTGAAAATAAACCAAATTTTGTGATAACTGAGGAAAAAGTCACTTTATAGACTTGAGACAAATAGAAAAACTTTGTGAGAATATAAGGGACTTATGACAGAAGAAGATGACTATCGTTGACAGGCTCTTAAATCGTACGGCCCAGTCTGTACTGAACTTAAAAATCTAACTAAAAAAATTAATGATATAATCTTATCTAGAATAGGTAATAATTTTTAATTTAATTTAATTTTTATTGAATGGTTATATCAAAATAATTAATAGAAAATATTTAATAAAAACAAAAAATAAATTTTTCAAATTTAAATTATATTAAAGAAATTAATTTTTATTTAAAATATATTTATTTAATATATAAATTATAAGAGAACTAATTTATTAAATATTAAAATAAAAATAAAAATATTTATTATTATTATTATTTATTTTTTAATAATTTATTATTTAAAATAATAATAATTAATTTTAAACTTAAATCTTAAGTTATTGTTAAAATCTTATTCATTATTTTTAAAATAAATGAATAACTTATAAAATTAATTTATAATATATATATATATATATATATTTTTTTTTTTTAATAAAATAATATTTTTTTTATTTTAAAAATAATTATTATATTATAAAATAGATTTATTTATAAGTCTATTAAATTATTATCACTTAAATTTATATAAATTATAATTTAATGAGATGAATTCAAATAAATCTGATTTAATTTAGATAATAATTTTTTTTAACTTAACTTATTTTTCGAATTTTTAAAATCTACGTTGTGAGACTCTAATTTATTTTAGATGCTTTGACGTAAAAAAATAATTTAAAAATTTGACCTTAAAATTCAACAATAGTAGATGTTTTTTATTAGATATAATATTTTATAAATAGAGAACATTAAACATATTTATATGAATAATACCTAATTTTTTTTAATCATACTTATCTGTATAAGTTAATAAAAAAAGGTAATATTAATAGGGAGTAATTTCCAACCCTAGCTTTTTTATATGTTCAATTTTACTGGTTAATTGTTTGTTTGGTAAACAATGGATACTCTCTTATATAAGATTATACATAACTTTGATTCATATAATAAAAAAATATATAGAGTTCAAGTTTATATATAGAATAGCACCAAAAATCATATTATATTAAGTGTTATACGTGTGTACAAAAGATAGAGAACGAAGAGAGTGAGTAAGACACACTTATCTGATATTGTGACAGTGAAAGAGTGAGATTGAATGGTGGAAGCACTGGGTTTATGAACCCTAGCACAGAGGTGAATAACCTCGACTTTTCTCTCTTGCGTAGCTTCTGAACGAATGTTGGTGTGTCGTGTTTGGTGGACAAGAGCTTGAATCTTTTATTCAAGCACGAGGCATACACAGTGGAGAATTGGGTCAAGCAATTGGGTTGGTTTTGACAGTGGTATCAGAGCAGCAGGTTTGTTTCTCGGAAGAAGAAGAAGCTGCAAGCATGGCTAGAAATGGTAATGGAGGTTTCTTTTCAAATTTACCTGTTCTTGATGGAAAGAATTATGACCATTGGGTCATAAGAATGGAGGTCATTCTTAGTTATCAAGAATTGTGGGAGGTTGTCATGGAGGGTGCTACGGAGAAGGAAGAAGTCGTAAATAAGAAGAAAGATTGCAAGGCTAGTTGTCTCTTGTATCAATGTATTGATCCAGTGAATTTTGAAAAG